ACGCCCTTCTGAGCTCACCCTTCCCTGACTACCCATGTCCCACGGCTCCTGGGCTGCCTTTCCTAGGAGCAGGAACAGAGGACCCCTAGCCCTTATGGTCACAGAAGGGCCTGTGTGCATATGCAGACCTGCACACACCTGCACTCAGCCCTCAGGCTTCCCAGGCAGATTCCAGCTCAAAGGGGTGGTGCACAGAGATCATGACGGCACCCTGATCCTCCTACCCCACACTCTGGCTCTGTGCGGGTGCCTGGATCTCCTCCCCAAGACCTGTGTGATGGAGGACTGTCCTGACTTCACAGGGAAGGAACTGCCCCTGGGAAATCCCTGTTCCACATGTGCACAAGGATCCACTCACGGGGAGCCTTTCATTGTGACAGTGTTTAGGTTGTCCGTCCAGCCGTCACTCACTGTTCAGGCTTAGGGGTACGGGTGCTCTTGCTAGAGTGTCTGTGTGACATAATCATGAACAGGACAATGAAGCAAGTCAGGCTGAGGGAGCTGAGTCTGCACATGGGGGACATGGGAGGCTCAGTGAGGTGAGGGCAACCAGGAGCTGCTTGTGGGCTGTGTGGTTATGGTGACCCCAGCCCTGCTGTGCCACCCATAACAGACATTTGCCAACCAGGAGTGCCCTTGTCGAGAGACATCAGCTTGAGGAACACAGATGGTGGCACAGATGTTCCCTCCCAACATGTCCCATCTAACTGTTGTGTGGAGTACCTACTTCATGCGCAGTGCTTGGACAGAAAATTCCCCCCAGATTAGCTAAGGGCCCCCTGGAAGAGTCTCTGTGAGACGCCCAGGGTTCCCCAGTCACTCTCAGTAGTCCCCAATATAATATACCTGGTGGTGGTCTTGTATACTGCTCTGTGGCCAGGAACCTAGAAAGTGATGGCAAACCTTTTACAGATGGAGTCCCCACGTTGCAACCCCAAACCCACTTATTTATGGCAAAGTGCCAACCATGCAATTAAAGCCGAATATCTGATGCTCAGCTGCCGGGGGACTTGGTTCACGTGCTGACAGACAGGGCTCTGTGTGCCCGATGTGGCACGTTTACCACAGGTTCACCGCCACTGACCTAGACTTATGCCTGGCATACAGCTGGCACTCAGTGAGGATTTGGGGAAATGAATGAATGAATTGGGTTTTGCGATGAAGGATACTAGCCATGCAGCCTTTGGCCACCTGACTGCCCTGGCTGCCCCCCTCAGCCAGCAGACATTGACCTCATGGCAGCTGCCCGTCTTTCCACCACCCTGTTTCCCTGTGCTAAGCTGGAAGTCCTCCCACTGTTGGCCTCTGATCCCTCTGGAGGAACATGGGGAACCCTCATGAGCTGAAGGATGCTGACATCAGCATGTAGGAGGGCAGGTCCCATGTTTCTAGAACATTCCATGCCCCCTGACAGCCTGCAGTCCTCAGGGTCAGGGAGAGGATTTTGGGCCAGAAGGTTTGTCAGCCTCTGCATCCAGACAGCAGGGTGAGACGTGTGCACATAGAGTGACTGCTGTAGTAGGAGGGCTTCCTTAGGGAGCAGGTGGCTCCTGGCAAGGTAGGACCCAGATCCTGCCCCAGCCCAGAGCTTCAGACCCTGAAGGTCTGAGGCCAGCTACTCACCCCTCACCACTAGACATCCCTCTTCCCTTGGCTGATGGGGCCAGGGGATACTCGTTAGCTCTGAGTGGCCACGGGCTAGGCCAGGTCCTCTTGCCCACCGATGAGCAGGCCTCACTTGTATCTCCAGTTCTGCCGGCCACTGGCCTTCACTCCCCACCTTCAGCATCCACCTCACCAGCTATGCCCTGCCCAATTCTTCACTTCCGTTGTGCACCTGGCCACCTGCCTTCCTCTTCACTCTCACCTCTCAGCTCTGCGGGTGCCCCCAACCCCCAGCTCCTTGGAGCTTGTAGGGAGCTCACAACAGCCCCCAAACTGCCTCCCACCTGCCTCAGTGGCCCCAGAGCAAGCTGCTACACAGCTCAGGAAGGCTCTCCAAGAGCCTCCACTTATCCTCCCGCCTGCTCCAGCACAGCCTGGGAGCCTCTAAGAGCCTCCCCAGGTCTTGGGCTGCTATTAGCATATTTTTTTTTTATTATGGAAACATACACAAAAGCAAAGACCATAATATAATGAATGCATTCACCATGGGGCTTCAACAATCCCTGATTCACAGGCAGTTTTGTTTCCTCTCCATTTGCCCCCCTTTCCTCTCCCTGCAAATTATTCTGAAGCAATTCCCTCTTGTCACATAGTTCTGTCCACAAATTGTTCATGGGGATCTCTGGCAGGCACAGTATTTTTATCTTGAAATGCACACAAGGAAAGGGACTCTGCCCATTTGCACTAGCCGCTGGCCAAGGTGAGGAGAATTTTTCAGTCTCTTATGAAGGATGGATTTTTAAAACATATTTGGCATGTTTAGTTCTAATTCTTTTTGATGCTTAAATCATTCTGCTGTTGATCAAACCTTTCTAAAACTTTTCAGTGGATAACTGGGAAATAATTTTAATATAAAATAGCTGACGAGTTTATGTTAACATTTCCTCTTCACATTTAAGGATTGGCTTCTATTTCTTTGATTTTTTTTCTGGATTTTTTCCCCTCACATGAATATCTTGGTTCCTAAGAAACAACATAATAATAGTACAATCAGCCCTCACTATCTGCAGGTTCTACAGCCACAAATTCAACCAATCCCAGAAGGAAAATATTTGAAAAGCAAATTGTATCTGTACTGACTGAGCATGTACAGACCTTTTCTTGTCATGTGCCTAAGCAATACAGTATAAGAACTATTTGCATAGAATTTACATTGTATTAGGTATTACAAGTAATCTAGAGATACAGGAGGATGTACATAGGTTCTACACAAATGTTACACCATATCATATAAGGGACTTGGACATCTTGAGGAGTGTGTATTGATGGGGCATATTGCAATCCATTTTCTATGGATTCCAAGGGACAAATATGCCAATATTGCTAGGAGTATGATTCTTCGGATTCATTTTGTAATTTGAATATCAGTGATATCACTGATCGTGTGCTCCATTATATGAGTGCAACACAGCCCAATTCATTAAGTTGAAGGACATTATAGTTGCGTTCAGTCTTCTGCTAATTCAAGTAGCATTGCAATGCATAACCTTATATGTATATTATTTTCTATTTTTCTTGCTTATCTTTGGATTAGTTCCTAGCAGGGGGATTTCCAGGTCCAAGAGTACATGTACTTTTGCTTGCTAATATTGCCAGAATTCCCTTCCCACAGATGACAAGGGGAGCACCTGTTGCCTTGGCCTCTCCTGTAGACTGTGCCCTCAAACATCTGAAGTTTTGCCAATCAGATAGGCAAGCATGGTATCAGGATGTACTTATAATTTGCATTTTTCTTATGAGTGAGGTTAAGAATTTTTTTCATAAGTGCAAAGGCCACAAACTTCTCTTCCTGGGCACTTTTCACATCTTTTGCTCACTTCCTCAAAAGGCTGTCTCAGTTTTAGATGTTCTTTATATATCAACCATACTAATCCCATACCTGCAATAAAAATTGCAAATATTTTCCCAGATCACCTCTTATCTTTTCCAGTGATGGTTTTCTTCTCTTTTTTTGTTCTTTTATCTATTGATTTTGGATTTCAAGAAATATTTGTAAATCTTTTCCCTACTCACAGGTTCTCAAGAAATTCATCTTTTTTTTTTTTGAGATAGGGTTACTACACAGTTTAGTCTCACCTTGGACTATGTAGCTCAGGCTGTCCTTTAACTCACAGCAATCCTCCTGCCTCATTCCTTTTTATAGAATCTGCATGGTTTTAACCTTTTCACTGAAGTCTCAGATCCATTTGGAAAGTTACTCTACTGCAGGTTTGACAAGTGGGCTTGGTCTAGCCTTCCTCTTGCTTTCTGTATGGCTGTCCAGTTGTCCTAACACTGCTTACTGAATGTTCATCATCTGCCTGCTAACTGGGAGGTGCAGCTCCTGGTCACTCCTGCATGCAATCCCTCAGAAAGTATTTACTGAATGCCTGCTATGTGTTCTGTAGGGGCAGTGCGTCCCTCCTCTGGCTTGGCTATGTTGCACTTCAGTGATGTGCCCCCAGCAATGTTCCTAGCCTGGTCCTGAGTCTCCCTAGACCATTGGTGGAGCACCTATGCCATGCATGCTGCAGTGGGCTGTTTGTATAACTGAAAACTCTAAAAGGTTTGCCACCCTGCCCCCCCATGCTCAACAGGCTGGGGCTGCTTTTCTCTGCAAGTACATTCTGTGCCCTCCTGTGGGCAGCACCAGCTAACTACAATGGGAGCCCAGGGTCCAGGATCAGGAGCTGGACTCTGCTTCCCATTCCAGACTTTCTGGTGTGGATACTTTGCAGAGAGGCCAGCCCAGCGTACTCAGTGTAGATCTGCAAGCAGCTCATAAGTAACCAGCCCCACCAGCCCCAACTGAGAGTCATAGATGAGCTAAGACTCCTCCCAGCCAGAGTAGGAGTGGTTGAATGTCATGTAGGTGAGTCTTTTGTTTGCTGCCCCCTCTCCTTAATACCAGTGGAGCTTGGGGCAATGTGAGGAAACAGCCCAGACCTTGAGACCCTCATCGCTCAGTCCCACACCCATTCAGTCCCACCTGGGGAAACCTCAGGTCAGCCCAGGTCCTACAGCAGGGAAGATGTATTCATTCTCATGTTCCTGGGCAGGTACAAATAATTCTCCCTTGACCTTCCCGGTGGCTTTGTCCACTAACTATGCCCAGCAACCCCGCAGGGTCCCACTGGACTGCGCAGGACTATCCCTGGACAATCCTTTCTCCCCTCCCCAGTCCCGTGGCCCTAGTCAGAATCAACTCAAACTCATTCCCCACCAGCAGCATGCGCATCTGGGTTCCCAGGGGGCGCTGAGTGTTCAATCTTCCTCAAATCAATCAATCCTGAGGCCAGGATGCTCTGCACATGCCGCAGGCGCCCCTCTTCGCTTATCTCTTATTTTCCCCTCAGAGGGCTTTGCAGCGTGGGAAAGTTGATGCCCTTGTCCTATACCATTCCTACCATGCAATTAGTGGTGGGGGCACTTGCCAGCCCGGAGCCTTCCTCTCTGGCTTGGCTGGGGACCCCAGGAGTTGGGCAGAACAGGTAAGCGTAAGAAGTCGGGTTAAGCACGTGCACGTGATCAGAGTAGAGCAGGTGGGCTTGGAAGGAAGAGGAGGAACAGGTGGGCGCCAGTCCTGCAGGGCCAAGCAGGTGGGGGGGAGGGGTGGAAGGAGGCCCAAGCCCGAGACCTGAGTTTAGAGAGCAGGTGGGCGCGGGCCGTAGCGCCCAAGG